GTGATGGCTGAGGACGAAGAGGAGAGCGAGGACGAGTATGCCGAGTCTGGCCGTGCAAAGGAAGAGAAGAAGCACTGGTGCAACACATGCAGGGGCGAGATCAAATACGAGGATCTCGGCCCGGGCAAGGTCTTCCGCGTCAAGGTCTACGCGAGCAACGGTCTGATGAAGGCTGGGGCGTGGGAGGCATGCTGGAAGGAAATGGAGCGAGTCGACATCGAAGTCGAGCCCATCGTTGACCCAAGCCTACAAAGCGAGCTTGAGGAATTGGCTGTGGTCGTCGAACTCGATCAGGAGGACCGGATGCGGCGGGAGGAGGAGGCTGCGGCACTAGAAGCGGAGCGTGAGCAGGAGCAGGAACAGGTGCGGGAGAGCATCGAAAAGGACGAGCCAGCAGCGCAGGAGTTTGCCAGAGAGGCTTCTCTGCCCGTACGGCAGGAAGAGGCATATACCAATACCCCCGAGCAACATCATCGGTCATCCCTCATGTCTTCACCGCCGCCCTCGGCGCTGCAGCTCGCCATGCATGCGTCACCGCTGCAGCCACCTCCATCGTCTGCCCTGCGTGCGCTCTCGCCTGCTCTCGCCGAGCCGATGGACACGTCGGACGAGCGTCGGCGCCGGGATGAGGAGCGCATGCGGGAAATCTACGGCGAGGCGCCACCACCTCTACGACTCGAGCATGAAGCGGTGCCGCTGCACACCGAGCCCACCGCGAGTCGAGCACCACCACCGGAACCTGCCTACATGCCGCCGCCACAGACACCGCAGTCACCGTCTGAGCAGGTTTATGAGCGGCGTCAGCGTCGTGAGAGCCCGCGCCGCCGGAACCTGGACGACGCGGGCTTTGTGGAGCTGTTTTGTGAGGCCATCAAGGTTCTCCTACGCGACTCCAAGAACGTGGCTATCATCGTGCTCTGCATCTTCCTCATGTGCATGCTTATGCGTCCTACGTCACACCCTCCGGCCTTTGCGCACGACCCTGTTCCGTACCGCTATGACCCCAAGCCTGAAGTCAGCATCAACACCCAGACAGCTGTGACCGAAGCTTTGTCCAGTCAGGCAACATCTCAAGCGCCGGTGTTCCAGCCTGTTTCTGAAGCTCAGGCGCCGATAGTGGAGAAAGTCATGGACGTACCATCAATTGTTGCTGAGGTCTTGTCCAGCCACACCCCCGAAACTTCAATGGTAGTTGAGGAACCGGAGACTAGTGTTCCTGAGCCGACAGCTGAGGCGGTTGAAGAAGCTCCTTCGTCAGTGGTTGAGGTTTCACCGAGCGAGTCGCCAGAGACTCCGGCAGTAGAAGACGAAGAGGTCTCCGACGTCTCCGAGGCTTCCGAGGCTGCCGAACCGGTGTCGGAGGATATCGACAGTGCAGTAGTTGAACCCGAGGTTCTCGCAAGTGAAGCATCGGATGATGTGTCTTCTGAGGACCACATTTCCGGATTTTCCGAGCCAGTAGTGGAGGTTCTCGATGCTGAGGTTCCAGAAGACGTCAACTCTGATGTCCAGTCTCTGGCAGAAGAGGAGATTGTCGACACTCGGTTGTTTGACGAGGCTGCAGCGGAAATCACACCGGATGTCGAGGCTTTGGAGGTCCACGAAGCATCTGACTTCTTTGAGCCAACAGCGCAAGAGTCATTCGATGTTCTCGTTGAGGTTGAGGAGACTCTGTCCCAGGAAGCGTCAGACGATGCAGCTCTAGAGGAGCGTCAATCTGAACCTGTGGAGCCTACAGCCGAGGTTGTCGAGGAACCGTTGAACTCAGCCGAGATTGAGTCTGAGGAGACTCCGGATGCGGCAGCTGTCGAGGAGGAGGATGTTACCATCGCCCCCGAACCGGAATTGACTGAGACTGTCATGGAGGAGATCGTCACGGAGGAAGCCGACTTGAACGCAACCATCTTGGAGGAGGTTCCCCTGGACGAGCCTACTCTGGACGATGTTGTGAAGGAGCCTCCACAGATTGTGATGGACACACCTGAAATCGAGGAACCCCTGGCTGCAACCCCATCAACGGACACCAGCGATGAAGCACCTGCAGCAGAAGCCACACACTCATGCGAGAGCTATCTCCAGTCGGCCAAGAGCGCGTCCTTCGCCATCACCCAAACACCGGCACAGCCGACGGCATGGCCAGAGTCACCAGTCACTGAATGGAAGACTGTCAAGGTGTTCGAGACCGTCACCGAGACCGTCCGGATCAGCGTCACGGCCACCGAGATAGTATCAACAATACCTACGGTAGAGACTATCCGTGCGCCACCCGCCACGGTCGAGGAGACGGTTTACGAGACGGAGACTATCCGTGTCACTGTCACTGAGTCGGCCGAGGCAGAGGCAACTGGCGTCGGCCATGATGAGCTATAACCTAACCGAAAACGCGTTTTGACGATACCTGCATTGCATTGTTGGAGCGAGCGTCTGATGGATAGCAAGCGGCCCTGGGTTGAGCATTTTGGATTCGATATCTTGGATCTTTCGAGAGTCATGACTGTACATGTCGGGATAACTGCATAAGTTGGCTCAAAGATGTTATTAGCAAGTAAATGTTCTTTTTCTTTGTATAGCCAACTATAATGAGTCGATGAATAAATAGATTACCTTCTGAACCTGTGCTGCGCCCGCGTTTTGATCTGACGGTTACCCCATAAGGGTAATTCCTGGAACAGTCACACGTGCCCCGCACATTCACCTTACTTCAGCGTGATCACTTGCTCTTCCCACAATAGTCATGACCTGGACAATGCATGTTCTGGTCATTGTCAACCTGTCTCTAGCATACCTTTCTCTTCTCCCCAAACTCTCCTCCCAGAAACTTCCCGTCACAAACATCAAATAGCCAGCTGACAACAACATACTACAACAACATCAAGACATTCCCAGCCTTGATAAAGATTCTGCCACCATTTCTTCTGCCAATTTGTCAGGCGAAAACTGATCTCACTGCCACAATGAAGACCCGAGCGGTGCCCATCTTCTTCCTGCTCTCTCTCTCCGCCTCTGTTATGGCCCAGGGAGGATTCGACGGCTCATGCGTTTTGTTGGTGGAAGCATAAGGGGCTACATTATGTCCGGGAAGGGGATGTGGGAGAGGGAAGGGTTTCGTTCGTTAATTTACATGCAATGCATATTTTCCTTTCAAGTGCCTTCCACAACGTGTGAAGTCTCTCATGTTAGGCCTGATGTCCCTGTGTCTGCATCCCGTGCCAGCTCCTTCCCTAAAGTCAGTCAGCCTAGGTGAAATACACTTTCGAGGTCACAAACCACACAATGACGTTGACCGTAACCAGAACAATGAAATGCATCGTCCAGACCACACAGATTCTCGGTACCGTTTCAAATCCTTTCACTGATCTAAGTGGTTGTTACCTTTGTGGCCCCGTGGCTCAGTCGATAACAACACGAGTCAAACGCTGGCAAAGAGAAGTAGTCGGAGGTTCAACTCCTAGGCGAACTCCTTTTGCCATTCCGGATCTTTCTTTTCCTCCTTCACATTCCCCCCCCCCAAATTATTCTTCTTCTTTTCTCCACAAGACACACTCAACGCAGAAAAAGAAAAAGAAAATTCACTGGATGAGGTCATGACATCTCGGAAAAGCCCTCGATAAGATGATTCACCCCTTTAGCATTCACCTCTTGTTCGTTAATCACGTTTACTTTATTTTTACCGCACCACGCCTTATTAAAAATTAGGGGAGGCACAGGACAACGTTGGCACTTATCTATCTCTGCTTTATCCTCTTTCCCAAGCCCGTCTCTTTCTTCCGAAATATTGGACGCTCCATTCACCTCACAACATTCTCTCACCCATTCGTAAGAGATTTTTTAAAAACCGTTGTTCCCCTCTCTCTCTCTCATCCTACCAAAAAGCGTAATACCAGCGCGGCCAATATTACCACCAAAATATGAAGTCCCTCATGTCTCTACTATCACCTCTCTTCGCTATTATTACCACCACAGCCGTCGTCCTAGGTCTAAACCAGGGAGGGTTCGGCCAGACATGCCCCGACTGGAAGCTGGTGTCCGACAGTCCGACCTGCGCTCTCGAGGCCGTGTGCGCCATGTCCCAGAAGAAGCCGGACGGCACACCGCAGTGGCGCGACACGGTGCTCGATCTCACCCTGTGCATGCTGCTCAATCGTGCTGGGTATCTGATGTGGAATACCAGCACTCATCCGTCTGGGATTCCTTGGTACTTCAACCCCCCTCCCCTCTTTCTTTTCCGCAACTTAACAAACCCACCCGAAACCAATTCACACACACCTGGCTTCGGGCTTGTAACTTAAAAAGGGAAGCCATCCTAATTAACCATGTTTATTATGTTTTCGTTTTTCAGGGCAAAAGACTCCTGCGACTGCCAACTCGAAGGTGTGCCAGGCGTGAGACTCTCGTGTCTGTGCGTCGTCGTCGACCCCAGGACGGGTGAGAAGGTGGTGGCCAAGTCCTCGCTTTACCTGCGTACGCAACCCCCTTTTACTTTTTTTTTACACATGGAGTTTTTCTTTCTTTCTTTTGCTGGCCACAGATACCGTTGATGCTAACGGAGAGAAAAAAAAACAGCCGACTTTATCGCGAATCAGGACGGCATGCTTTCGTGCTTTGGGAACTCGGGGTATGACTACAATCCTTAATCAACCAACGCGCGCTCACAATATCCTACCTGACTCTTCATCGCCTTCCCGTCCAAAACCACCCCGGATCCGAGAAAACAATGACCTACACCCTCCTCCTCCCTCCTGTCTTGAGAACAACTTTCTCTCAATCAAAAGGGAGATAGGTAATATCCAAAATAATAGTAGGATAGGGGGGAAAAGGGGAAAGGGGTCAAATATCGCGGGAGTTTTGAAGAAAGTGGGGAAAATATTTACCACGGGTGAAAGAAAGGATTTAAACCTGTCAACTATATAGCAATCTATTCTATGAGCAACATCCACCGACGATGCTGTCTGGACTAGCGACATGGGTAGATCTGTCTGGCGCAACAAATATCAAAAAAAGGCAAGATGGCCGAGCGGTCTAAGGCGCCACGTTAAGGTTCTTCTCAAACCCTTAATCATTCTCAACTCTAGAGTTCCGTGGTCCGAAAGGGCGTGGGTTCGAATCCCACTCTTGTCATTATGGCTGAAGGTAGAGACAGCGAAATATTTTTGACTACGCTCGTTGAGTCCGACGTGTTGAGTGTGCCAGGAATAACATGTGACACACGTGCAACAATGTCACAGCCATGTGCTACGCAACCACACGTTTGTCTTTTAAACGCAGGGTATCACCATCCATTCATACATCTAACTTTTCTCTATATTATACCTCTTAGATCTCTTTTTTTTTTGTTTATGCAGCCTTCTCAACCTCCTCACTCACGCCATTCCCCGCCGGTGGTGCCGACCGGACAGTCTGCTTGAGCGGCGGGAGCAGGCTCTTGGCGGTATGCCGTGCCTGCTGTGCGAGGACCGCGTCCATAAGCACCAGCGCCGCCATGGCCTCCACGATCGGTATTGCTCGCGGGACAACGCAGGGGTCGTGTCTGCCCTTGGCAGCAAGGATACCCTCTTGGCTACCGTCGTAGGTGGCCGTCATTTGCTCCTGTCCGATCGTTGCCGGCGGCTTGAACGCCACGCGGAAGTAGATTGGTGCGCCGTTGGAGATACCCCCCTGAATACCTCCCGAGTAATTCGTCTTTGTGGTGAGCCTTGGTTTTGGCACTCCGGACGGGAACTTGGCGTCTCCTGCGGGCGCAGCCACAAAGGGGTCGTTGTGTGTTGACCCGGGAATCTCGCAACCGCCGAATCCTGACCCGATCTCGAACCCTTTTGTGGCGGGGATGCTGAGCATTGCGTGTGCCAGCATCGCCTCTAGCTTGTCAAAGCATGGCTCGCCTAGACCAGAAGGCACGTTTCGGATAACGCAGGTCACGGTACCGCCTATGCTGTCGTTTCGGTCGCGGTAGTCTGAGATAACGTCCACCATTTTCTGAGATACCTGTGCATCGGGGCAGCGCACGGGGAGAAAGGAGTCAACGGTTTTCCGGTCGATTCCCTGAATGAGGGACAGGAAAGCCGGGTTGGTAGAGGGACTGGGGTGCTCGGCTGTGGGGGGGAAGAGGTGGACGTTGCCGATGCTGGCGGTAAACGCGACGATCTCGACGCCGTAGGCTAGACGGAGGTATTTCTCGGCGATCGTACCGGCTGCTACTCGGCCGATGGTCTCCCGGGCGGAACTGCGGCCGCCGCCGGAGCTGGCCTTCACGCCGTACTTCTCGAGGTAGGTCCAGTCTGCGTGGGACGGGCGGGGGTAGAGGTCCATTGTTTGGTTTCCGTAGTCTACATAGACAGAGGGTTAGTAGGGAGTATTGGGGAGAAAGAAAGGGGTAAAGGGGATGTACCCTTGGGCCGCTGGTCCTCGTTCAACACCATCATACCAATGGGAGTCCCCAATGTGACGCCAAACTCGGTACCGGACTGGATGAGGACCTTGTCCTTCTCGTTTCGGGGGGTGGTGATGTTGCTCTGCCCGGGGCGCCGCCGGGTCATCTGGGGCTGGATGTCCTCCTCGGTGAGCTCCATCCCCGGAGGGCACCCGTCGACGATGCAGCCGACTGAGCGGCAGTGCGACTCGCCATAGCTGGTACTGTTAGTGACCGACTTGACATGGCCTCGGTGGACTGGGGCAAGTCCAATTGGCCGACGAGGAGGGCACTGGGAGGACTTAGACGTACGTCGTGACTCTGAAGTACTGGCCGAAGGTAGACATGGTGGTGGTGTTGGCGGGGTAATTGGACGAAGGAACGCAATAGAAAGGTTCGCTGCTAAACAGGAGAGCCGTCAAGCAATATCGCCGTAGTCACAGGGCGGTAGGACGACTTACCAGCTAGTAAATAACAGTTGAGTGTCGTCAGTGAGTCAGAAATCAGTACTCCCCAATTGGACCCAGAAATTTTACACCATCGTGCCACACCTCGCACCATGCCCCTCCGTGGGCTGCCGTCATCGGCTCCCCGCAGAAGCACGGGCCGTTAGTGGGGTTCTGTGCAGCGTAACAGCACGCTAATTTTCAGTCATCTGCGTGCAGCTGGCAGGGCTGAAAGTTAACAAACATAGCTTTCAAGGTCCCCTTTCATGTGAGCCTCTCACTAAGAATCTCATCTCATGGCTTTACATTGCCGCAGCAGCACGCTGCTGTGGATGCCGACTTTAAATAGGCCCCTTATATCTCTCATTACCACATCGGGGGGTAGACAACCCGTACGATTATTTACACAATCCCAACACCGCAGATTTACAGATGATGCACGCCTCGCAAAAAGGATACAAATCTACCAATCGCGCTCATCAAACCCCTACGTCAACCTCTCAGTGGAGCATTACCTCTTGCAACATTCCCACCCAGACTCTACCGTGTTATTTCTCTACAAGAACCGACCATGCGTCGTCATCGGCAGGAATCAGAATCCATGGCTGGAAGTCAACTTGGCACTCCTCCGGGAAGGACTTTCCGGATCCCCTATCGACCTTGTCCGGCGTAGATCCGGAGGAGGAACGGTATTTCACGACTCCGGAAACGTCAACTGGAGCGTCATCTGCCCACCGGCGGCGTTCGACCGCAATAAACATGCCGAGATGGTCGTCCGGGCTGTCCAACCCCTGCTTCAACCCGGCTTACGGGTTCGTGTAAACGAGCGGCACGACATCGTCATGGACGTCACCCCCGAAGGCAAGACTTTTAAAGTCTCAGGATCGGCATACAAGTTGACCCGGTTACGGTCCCTCCACCACGGCACCTGCCTGCTGTCCTCACCGAACCTCGGCCATATATCACGTCTGTTACGCTCACCAGCAGAGCCGTACATCAAAGCGAGAGGGGTAGAGAGCGTCAGATCACCAGTCCGCAATGTCGGCATTGCCAACACTTCAGACTTCACCGACGCTGTTATTACCGAATTCTGCAAGATGTATGACCACCATGAGAGTGAGATGGTTGAGGTTGACGACTCCGGCGTGGAAACCGAGAAAATCCGAAACGGGGTAAACGAACTCATGGTACGTCCCATCCCAAGGTCTCTTTGTATGTGTGTGTGCTTTGCTGATATAAAGGGGCAGTCTCCGGACTGGATCTACGGACAGACGCCGCAGTTTACCTTTTCTACGCACCCGACAGAAGACGACCCTCGCGAGCGTCCGCCGCTGCCCGCAGACCTACCCAGCAACGTAAGCCCCTTCTCAACCCACCACCCCCCACCTAACCTAACCCACAACAACTGCTTAATGAAGGGTGTATGTAGTTCCGGACGGAAATGGTAGTCAGACACGGGCAGATCCAGTCCGCGTCTGTATCAGGGCTGTCGTTTGTGATTGACCCAGACGACCCGGATTTTATTCCGGGTGACTACCCCCCAGACGACATTCACAACGGACGTTTTACTCTAGACGCAGACGTCCTGGGCGGGTTACTTGTCGGCCGCAAGATCTACGGCGGTGATGGCGTATATGACTGGCGACGAGCTCTCGTCCTCGCAGGCGGAGAGTTTACTTCGTCTAACGGTACCATCGAGCCTGCCGATAATGTTGGCACGTTTTTAAACACCATGTTGGGGATCCAACCCAAGGACCCTTAACCCTTGACAGTTTCAATGTTCATCTTATACGGTATATCCCCCCCAGTCTCAACAAACCTTGTATGTACAACAACCCTGTAATCACTGTACTATATATAGATAGATCTTAGATGGATAACCCCACGAATGCACATGTACATGTACACACCACCATCAATATCTCAACACCATCAATACTATATATAATAGCTGCGGCTACTAATGCTCCCCAGAAGTGGTAGTACTCATAACCCCGCGTCCAAACCACTCCGCAATAGTCCTGAACCTGTCCTCGCTCCTCTCCAGATCATCTTTGAACAGCTCATGCCTCTCACTGTTCTCCTCCTGTGACTTCTTTAATGCTCGTATCGTAGCATTATCCCTCGCGCACAATGGACACTCCTCCACCCCTCCCTCAGTGCCACTCCTCAAACACCTCTGATGGAAGCTGTGCTTGCATAGAAAGTGCACAGTCGGGAGTTCCAGCTGCGCGCTGCACTGTGCACACCTCGTCGCCTGAAACACCGCCGGCTTCGACCCGAGATCCGCAATCTCCTGCCGTCTCTGATCCGTCTCCATCCTGAACGCGGTCACGTCCCTCTTGTTCTCCGCGATATCCCGCCGTTCCCTCTCGATCCTCTTCGCCAGATAGGGTTTGATCATCCCCATCGTCGCGACTCCACTCTTGCTCAGCGTCTGCACGACCTGCAACGGCGCCATCAGTCCGTCCCTATCAATCCGCTCCAACACCTTTTCTAATTCATCCGACCCCGCCTCCTCCAGCACCTTTGCATCAGATGTCAGGTAACTCAATGCTGCCGGGTAGAGTTGCGGCTCCTCAGGGCCATATTTCCTCAGCGCCCGTATCGCACCTCTGGTATCCTTGGCGGAGGTGTATGACCGAAAGATGTCAAACAGCAACCCAGACTGCTCTTTAACCAGAGTCGTCCCATCGGTAAAGTTCGCCAGATGCGACAGCAGCAGCACATTGCTGTTTTCGATCCCCTCCTTGTCCTGGCCCTGCCCGTTCCCTTGCTGTCGTTGGGTGAGTAGCGTCTTGGCCTTTTGCTCCCACTCCTCTCTGTGCTGATCGCCCTTCCTCTCGTTGCTTTTGTGCAGGTACATCTCGAACAGCGTCGTCTGGATATCCTTCCGATCTGCCTCCGACAGCGCCCCCTCATCTTTGACGCACGCTTCCAGAAAGACAATAAATTCGTCGGGGTGATCGATAAAGCTCGAGAATGCTGTCCTCGGTGCCGGGGGTGTATACTTTGGCGGAGCCGCTGCAGCCGGATTCTCAGGATGAAGTACCACTGCGTCGGCGTCCCCCACTGTCGGTTTATTAACCGTCCCATTGCCATTGGATTGAGTGGTTGATACGACGGCTGCCGTGTTCATGTACGGTAGTGGAAGCAGATTGCTCAGGTTTTGCACAGCGTTTGCTGCGCCAGCCGCGAACCCCCCTCCACCACCGTTGGCCACAGGGACGGTAGTCTTGACTTCCACATCCACCCTGGGTTTATAT